TATAGCCTCTTCTTCTATGGCAGCTGAATTCATATCGTGTTATGAGGCATGTAATCATGAAATTTGGCTGCGAAACTTTGTCACAGGCTTGCATATAATAGATGGTATAGAAAGACCACTTAAGTTATTTTGTGATAATAAATTAGCAGTTTTATTTTCCAACAACAACAAAAGCTCAACAAAGTCTAAACACATAGACATCAAGTTCCTAGTTGTTAAAGAAAGAGTTCAAAGTAAACAGTTGTCTATAGAACATATTGACACAAACTCTATGGTTGCGGATCCGCTTACTAAAGGATTACCACCCAAAATGTTTCATGAGCACGCTACTCATATGGGTGTTATTTCTTTAAGTGGTTCAGTTTTAGTGGGAGTTTGTAATTTTATGAATGCTTCTATGACATAGACATACTTTTCAATATATGTATGGTTCAAGTATATTTTCTGCAGAAATAAAATTTTGGTATATTGAAACTTTGGTTTTGTCATGGTTTGATCTCACTAAGGTTTAAGGAGGACCTATTGGAATCAGGCATGTTAAGATCACATTACATGAAAATTCCATACTACACATCCATATCATGATTCATGTTATTCATTTGTATTAATATATGTGACCATTGATGGGTTTAGTTGCGACAAATTAAATTTAACAAAGACTACTTTGATCCTATGTTGGTGTGATTGATGAATCGAATTGGTAAAAGATGCATTTTATAATTATATAATTATAAGGTTACACATATAGTCCAAGTGGAAGATTGTTGGATCCTTAATCCAACGTTGGTCTTATATGTGAATAATTATATATTAAAGACACATAATTTTATGCTAAATTAAAGTGATCTAATAACGTATAAATTATTTTGGCAGTTATGTAACTGAAAGGTTATGGGACCTTTAATGTGTGGTAACTAAAGAGTAATTCTATTTTGTGATGGGTTAAAATAGAAATACCAAAAGACCTTATGACTGTCTATAAATAGTTTAGGTGCCTTGGTCACACTAGGTTCTTTTCTTTTCTGACATCCCATTATTAGAGAGAGACAGAGAGATAATTAAAGGATTCTCTCAAGAGAATACGTGTTGATCTGGAAGGACAAACCGTACAGTTCTCTTATCATCATGAATTCAAGTACGCTTCTGCTTGTTGTTTCTAGTGATTAACATGATAGAATTTATATTTTATATAGATGATAGTTTTCATCAAAAGCTTAAATTTAATTTTAACATCATGTAGAATGCAAACATGGAAATACATTGTTTCGAAGGAACTTTATAAAATGTAAAAAAAATTTCAAGTTGAAATAACTAGACTAATGACTTGAATCCATCAAAGGTATGGAGTTGCAACTTTAGAGAAGGTTGGAATTTTGGGAAAATTGTAGAGGGAAGCAGGGACGGACGCACGTAGTGACTTGTGGGGGCAGTTGCCCCCACTAACTTTTCAATTTTTTTATAATAATATATATAATATTATATTATCTTTATTTAAAATTTAAAAACAAAAAAATTAAAAAAGTTATAAAAGTTATAAAATTAAAACTGAATTTAAGTTTTATTGCAGTTATCTTTATGTGAGAAAGGAATTTTAAAAAAAAAAAAATTAATATGTTATAATAATTAACAATAAATTACATATTTTAGAAGAAAAAAAAAAGTTGTTATACATTTAAATTGTAAATCAAGATAAAAAAATTATAAATTAATAATGTATGTATTTTAAGTTTTAATAAAATCATAAGTTGTTATTAACCTCTTTTTGAATATTTTATATATTTTTTCTATTTTATTTTTACTTTTTCCATTTCTTTTTATATTTTGAGGTTCCCCTCTACCTCTAAAATATTTTAAAGTGTAGAAGAGTGAAATTAGAAGAAAAAAAAACAAACTTCTTATTCCATCTCTACTACTTGTTTGAATAACTAAACTATGAGTTGCTTCTTTGTGTAGCATGTTTAAATCCAAGAGATTCATTTTCTGCATTTGACAAGGAGAAGTTGATTCGTTTTCCTCAATTTTATTCTTTTGAATTTTCTCCAGTTGAACTTTTGACATTAGATAATCAACTTGAAAATTATTTCATAGATGTATGTTTTGATAGTGCTTTTTCAAAATTAGAAAGGATTGATGATCTTTCTATAAAACTTGTTGAGACAAGAAAACATGTTGTATATCCATTGGTGTATTTGCTTTGATAACTAGTCTTGATACTACTAGTAGCAACTGCATCAGTTGAAAGAGTTTTTTCTGCTATAAATATTATCAAGAATCGGATGCGCAATCGTATGGGAGATGAATGATTAAATGATTATTTAGTTACTTATATAGAGAGAGAGGTTTTTGATAATATTGAAAATAAGCAAATCATTCGATGTTTTCAAACTATGAAAACTCATAAAGAACAATTATATTATGTATTTATCTTTATAAAAAAATTATTTTATATTTTGACAAATTTATGTATTTAAATATTGCCTCCACTACTTAAAATTTCTGAATCCGTCACTGGAGGATAGTATAAGGTAAATGAGGAGTATAAATAGGGGGGATAAAAAAGGTAGTTGAATGAGTGATGTGCACATCGAAGGGTCATATTTAGTCCATTTGATTATACTCTAATTATATTTATCTTTTTAGTGTTTAACCATGTCTTATAACGTCCTCAAAAAAAAAAAAAGTCCTATAACGTTAGTCTTAATTAGTTTCAACTTTCAACCACAAAAGGAAGATCAAAGATGAGACGTAACACTTTTCTCTTGGACCTTTCTTTGGTCACGATTTGCTAGCGGCCCACTCTTTTAATTCTTCTTCATCCATAGCGTCAGACCTTAAGAGCATCTCCCGTGGGACTCTGTTACATCACGTCACATCATTTCATATCAATTTTAAATTTTAGTATTAGAGCTTCTATAAACAATTTTGCTAAAATTTAAGTAATCCATAAAGTGAAAAAGAGCTTATGTGGCATGATGTGGTACAGGAAGTCTCACTACATATGCTCTTATACTTCCAGAAGATTATTATTATTATTATTATTATTATTAAGTTAAATACCTTTTTTGGTCCCTTACAATATTTTTTTGTTTCAATTTAGTCTCACTTTAATTTTAAATCTCAATTTGGTCTCTAATAATTTAAATCGTTCCAATTTGAGACTTCCGTCTAAAAGATTTAAACGGAGTTAATTGGTGGTCAGGTGAATGTCACGTAGATGCCACGTAGGTGAATCCAAAAATACTTGAATATACCTGGAATCAGAACGGCCCGTTCTGAAACCAAACCGGCCCGTTCTGGTTACACTATTGGTGTGTAAAATTTGCACCTGGAACGGGCCGTTCCAGGTCCAGAATTTCGTGCAAAAAAAATCAAAATACAAAGCATTTCAAACACTACATTTGATAATATTGTTAATGAGGATTAATAACTTCAATTGCTAAACATTTGGGCTATACATTATATCATTAAGGATGATGTAGTGTATCACTAAGGACAATGGTAACAAGTTTTATTTCATTGTTAGTCAAACTGGAGTGAACCACTTACTACTAAATTGACACTATACAGTCAAGGATAAAACGAAACAGTGTTTTTCCTTGAAGTCATTGACGATGTACCGAAATAATAACAACCTGTTATTGAGGAGGTACCCTTAACCCTGAATTTTATTTTCAATTTTTGAAATACATTGCGGCATTTTAGTCAAGATTTTGGACTGGATAAATTCAAATACAAGAAATATTTTGGAAGGGCTTATCTTATTTGATTTTTTTTTTAGTTTTATTCATAAATGAATATTAATTTATTGTATTTTTTATTTATTATATATTTATTAATATATATATAATAAAAAAATACAATAAAAAGCACGACGTTCTGGAACGGGCCGTTCTGGTTTCATAACGGGTTGTTCTGGTTTCAGGTTTTCTTTCCGGAATTTTGGCGTCCACGTGCGCATCCACGTGGCATCCACGTAGATGCCACGTGGTCAACAGTTAACTCCGTCTAAATCATTTGGACGGAAGTCCCAAATTACACTAATTTAAGTTATCGAGGGACCAAATTGAGATCAAAAATTAAAGTGAAACTAAATTGAAACAAAAAACATTGTAAGAGACCAAAAGAGGTATTTAACCTTATTATTATTATATTAATAATAATAATAATAATAATAATAATAATTATTATTATTATTATTATTATTATTATTATTATATTATTATTATTACACCATACTACACTACCAGAATATTATTATTTATTATTTTTCTTTGACATCATACTCCACTACCAGAAGTTCTTAGAAAGTAGATTAAATCGAACATTTTTAATCGTAACGACTTAAAAAGTAACGATTACGGAATTAAAACAAATTAAATAAGCCTTAGTTATCTGCAAAATAAAATGAGAATAATAAATAAATAAATAATGTTAAATATTTATTATCAAAAAATTAATAAAATTGTAACATTAATTATAATTTAAAGTAAAATAAATAATATAAAAATTAATATTTAATAATATTTCAATTAAATTTTATTTTAATTATAATTTTTATCTTATAAAAATATAAAATAAAATGAAAATGAGAAATATAAATATAATTCAATTTAAATATTATCAAATATTAATTATTCTTTTACCTACATAATATGAAGTCATAATGAATATTATAACGAATAAATATTTAAAGAAGAGATAAAAATACAAATTTTATAAATTGAAAGGACTAAAAATTATAAATTTAAAAATAAAAAACCAAAATGAAGAATGGTATTACGTATAGAACAAAAAAGTACAATTCATCGAGAAATAAATGAGATGCAAAGGAAAAGAGGGATTGGAAGTGTGTAAGTTGGCAACGTTGACAAAGTCAAACAAAACCAAACACGAGAGAGAACGTAAAGTAATTAAAAGCAAGACAAAAATAGTACAACACATAGATTCATCTTCAATCTTCATTCTAAACGAAGCTGAAAGTCCCAAAGAACACACACACCATGTCGAAACAAGCCATCGACCCCTACCACCACATCGACATCGTTCTCAACCCTAACGGCACCCTCACTCGGTTGCGCCACCTTCCGAGCACCGCTCCCTCCGACGACCCCACCCTCCCCGTCCTCACCAAAGACCTCACCATCAACCACCACAACAACACCTGGCTCCGCCTGTTCCTCCCGCGAACACCCACAAACCCTAACCCTAACCCTAAGCTTCG